AACTTTTACATAAGGGCCAAAAAAAAAGAAGGACAAATTGAGAAAAAAAAATTAAATATGCCAAATTAGAATTGAAGGAGTAAATTGAAGACAAATAAAACTTATATAAAAAGGTTGAAAAGAAAAATAAGAAATCAAAAGAATAAGGACGGAAATTTAAAAATCAAACTAAATGAGGGTAAATTTGCATTTTTAAGGAGGAAAAAGAAAAAAGAAAAGAAAAGGACTTTTATGATTATTATAAGATGGTGCATGTACTACTTAAAAGGCACGACACTTCCCACCATGCATCAACAACTTTATTGAATAAAAAATATAATATTTCAAGAGAAAAAAAGGGCCAAATTACTCTCCATGTATATGATATTCACCATCAAACATATTTGGAATGACTCAAATAACATTTGCATAATGGTTCATCTCTCATTGACTGCAAGGAAAAATATAGCTTTTAATCATATATAAAAAAAAGGAAAAAATATCTTTAGTTAACCATTTTAAACCTTTTGAAATTAAAGGTAATTAAGTAATTTAACCATTTAAAAATTATATGAAAGACATAAATACCTCCACATAATTATTGAATGACTAATAGACCTTATAAAAAGACTAAAATAACCCTAAATCCAAGGCTTATGAATTTTTTTTTGGATAAGGGTAAATGTTTCATTTTACTATAGAGATGAATAGAAAAATGTTTGTATGGATACAATAAATTTGCCTTCCAATTTAGTTGTTTTTTCCCAACATCAAACATATATGATCACTCCTACAACTTTCTAACTCAAGATGATTTTTTTAAAAAAAAAAAACTAGCAAACTAGTATTGATCAATTTTTTTCTAGAAAGTAGCATAGTTTGGTAAAATTCACAATTATTCTATTTTAAAAAGTCACAATTAGGAATAACAACATTTTAAAGAAATGGTTAAAATGGGCTAACATTTATTCAAAGAGAAGAGAAGAGAGAGGAAAGGAAAGGAAAGAAAGAAAAAAAGAAAAAAAAATCGTGGAGGCACATTGAAGCTTTGATGATAATATATCCAGTATCATTAAAAAAAAAATTTCAAAAGAAGAGTACAATGACACTAAAAAATGTTAACAACGTGGTTGAAGTGGGCTACAAACATCATTTAAAGAGCTACTCTCATGCTTAATAGTGTACACTTTTAACCAATAATAATAATAATAATAATAATAATAATAAATAGTTATACAAAAATACTTGTGATTGAAAATTTGATAAAAATTAGACATGTAAGAAACAAAACTAAAAGGGTAAATTTATAAATGGAGAAATTAAACATGCGTGGTATGAACCTAAAGGTAGAGAGGTAAATTAGAGAGCAAAAATCTCTCTTTTTTCCCCCCCTATAATTAAAGCGGATAGATTTGAAAGAAAAAGAAGGCTTAGAAAATTGTTGTTTTCTCTTAAAAAATTAGTGGAATAAGTGTAACTGGTGTGCTTTAAATTCTTAATATCACTATAAGCTAGAAGATTTAGAGAGAGAGATATACTTTAGTATAGTTTAGGGGAAGATTTCTTATTTGAGAAAGAGTGATGTTCTTGAGCTCTATCATTCAAAACCACCAAATTGAGTTAATTAAAGGGGTAAAACGCTTTATCTTCATCTGAATTTATTATTACACCTTTGTAATTGAAGAGGAAATGATGTTTAAAAATTATGATTGTTGTAAAGAAAATAAAGGAATGTTAAGGTTAGTTGGAAAGTTGGTTTTATTGGATTTTTAGGTGAATTGTTTATGAAATTGTGTTAGAAAAAATATGTAGGTATGTTAGAGGTCTACAATGGATTTCCAAGCCACGAATGATTGACTATGGCTAGGAAAATTACAGCAATTCCAAATTTTGAATTTGAATTTGTGTAAATTGCATATGATGATGATGATTTATAGGTTGACGTTTGATTATGATCATTGTAAAATTAGTTTATGATGTGCTTGCATCATTGTTGATGTGTTTGGTAAGGTTGGGTACATTTAATTTATATGTAAGTGAGTTATGGAAATAAAATGATGAAAGGTTATGACATTAAAATGGATTATAGAAATAAGTGATGAAAGGTTAGGACATTAAAATGGATTACAAAAATGGATGATAAAAAGTTTAGGTAGTAAATGAGATTATGAATAAATGCTATTATAAAATGAATATATTGGTAAACAAGAGTGATATAATGAATTTTAATATAAAAATATGAATTGGCATGCAAGAGTGACATGATGGATGCTAATGTGAAAGAATGAAATTGGTAAAAACAAAAATAGCATATCCATGAATTTTATTATGAATATGGATAAATGATGTGAATGAGTAGTTGTTATAATGAGTTAAAAATAATTGGATATTGATCTAGATATCTTTTTGAATATTAGGATGAGCATTCTAAGTAGGTCATATAAAAAGAGCTCACATAGGAAGAATATCGAGTATGCATCTAATACCATACTTCATCTTGTTAAGGAACGCAAAATATGAAACATGAATCTAACTAAAAGCATAATATAAAAATAAATAAATAAAAAAATAAGCTGGCAATATAAGTAGAGGATATTTTGAATGATTAAGCTAGTAATAACAACAAGGACTAATATATAAAAACTAAGTTGGTCACTTGAGCTGAGATCATTTAAATAATTAAGTTGGTCATAATAATAAGAGTTAATATATAAAAATTTAGTTGGTCACATCTACAAGGGTTATTTTTAAAAACAAAGCCCATTGCATGAGCATAAGTTATTTTGAATCATTAAGCTACCTATAATGGTGAGGGATAATATTTGAAAATGAATTCAATTGTTAACAAATGAGGGTTATTTTGAATAGTTAAGCTAGCTATAAATATAATAATGAATATTAATATGTAAATATTAAACCACTTGTATGTATGAGATTATTTTTAAAAAATAAATTGATGATATAAACAAAAGTTATTTTAAAAGATTAGGTTGACCATTATTGGGAGTTAATACATGAAAATCAAGCTAGTTATAATGGTGGGGTGTTAACACAAAAATAAACTAAATGCAATGTCGATAGTTAAGAAATAACTTAACCTTATTGAAAAAGTTAAATGGATGTGTATTTGATAAACAATATATTTAAATGGTGGTGTAATTAGTAATAGAAGGAGTGGAGGCTTAACTTTTGAGTAAGAGAATGAATTACACTAGAAATTGTTATTTACATATTTAAAAATATATTCTATATTTTCATGTGTTTTAAAGGTATATTCTGTCAAAGAACCATCTCACCTAAAAGTTTAAACTGTTAGGTGAGGTTTCAGGATATGATTTATATTATTCTCTAACATACCCCCTCAAGTGAAAGCCCTTTGGGCTTGAAACTTGCACAGACCCACATTACCTTGTGTTTAATTTTTTTATCAAATAAATAGGGATGGTGAAACTCAAACTCTTGACCGTTTGCTTATCAAGGCTCCGATACCAGTCAAAGAACTATTTTACCTAAAAGCTTAAAATAAAATGGTTCTTTGACATGGTATCGGAGTCTTGATGACCAAACGGTCACGAGTTCAACTCTTACCATCCCCATTTATTTGGTAAAAAAATTAAGCATAAGGTAATGTGGGCCTGCGCAAGTTTCAAGTTCAAATGGCTTTCACTTGAGGGGGTGTGTTAGATAGAGAATAATATAAATCATATCTTGAGAACTCACCTAACAACTTAAGCTTTTAGGTGAGATAGTTTTTTGACATATCCCCTCCATCACAACAACTTTGATACCTGGCTCTAGTTAACTTAGTTTTTCTTATTAAATAGATTTTTGTATAAATTAAATTATGTTATATAAATATATAAATCTATTACATATGGATTTTATGATAAATTAAAAAAGAAGAGGGGAAGTGATGAATTATTACGTGTTGATAATATTGTAGGCTTGGTCACAAATCTTTTACTCCACGCTTTTGTGAAGAACATTATGTAAAAAGATTCAAGGCTTTCGATCCATCACGAGAATATATTTCTTGAAAATCCGTTTGATGAAGTGTCTGGAAAGGATTAATTTGTGTTCATGGAGATTTTTATTTCCGAGTATTATGGATAATATTATTGTAGTTATGAATTATGAATGATGATTTTATTGTTTTAATACTTCAAGTATTTTTTAGTTATTAAAATAAATATAATAACAATTTTGTAAATATTTAAACTTTTATTTTTGTATTTTTTTGAATGAGTGAAGTTAAGGATATAAATTATTATTTAACATATAAATTAAAATGAACCGTAGGATAGTGAAAACGTGACTAAGAGATTTTTTTGTGCATATATTTATGCATAGGAATTACTTTTAATCAGTGTTTTTACATTTAACATGATTATTTACTAGCTTAAGATTTTGATTGGATTATTAAATTAATTTTTTTAATAATTAAAATCATATTATTTTAATAAAAAAATAAAATAATTAATAAATTCTAACTAAATTTTCAATTGAATGTTATTAGATCAAACTAGATCACCCTCGTCAAGTCAGCTGAGTTCCTAACCATTCTGTTTTTTTTACCCACAAATCTGACATAGTTTCAGCTTCAAATCAGCTAGATTCTAAAGACCGGAAGAAATTTTAAAACTATGCTGCTAATATGCACATGCCATGTTGTTAATAATAAGTAATTTTATCAATAAATAACTGGCTGATCTCGAAGGACAAAACCAAACAGAAGCCCTGCAACCTCGAAATAGAAAAATCTTACAGCCAGATTCACCCATCCGTGCAGAGATTAAAAAAAAAAAGAGTGCACAGAATCAAAGGAAGCTCCAACAAGGTGACCACTGTCTTCTCTTCTCCTCTTCTCCTCTCCTCCTCATTTCCCAGCTTCAACAACCAGCCCAAAGCAACAACTCTCTCCACGTATCTTCTTCTTCCCAGCCTCAAAAAGCCATAGCAAACCCCTAGATCTCAAACTAGACAAAGTTAAACACACGCACACCCAAAATATAGTTAAAAACATGAACCTGTCTACAAAACCATTATCGAGTCCGGGTCGGACAGAGAAGTACTACCCACCACCATTGATGAGGTTCTTGAGAATCAATGTTGGTAGCAGAAGTAGACGAAGGTCACGTTCAAGTCCAATGTTTGTTAGAAAGACAAATACAACAATCGAAACTCAAGAACCCTCCTCTCCAAAAGTCACCTGCATGGGTCAAGTCCGGGTCAGGCGGTTCAAACAAGCTAATATCCGGCCCGGAAAGCCCAAAAAACGCCTGTGCAAATGGATCCAAAAAACCCTACTTTGTCATCACCATTTAAGTAGAAGAAAACTCAAGCGTAAGTCTTTTACACCTTCTTGGCCTAAATGGGCTCATTTCTTTCGTGTCGGATTTAAGAGAAAAGGCAAAATTAGCGAGGATTGTAATTCTTCAAAGGCTGAACCAAACTATGGTGTCAGAAGTGAAGATTTTGAGCAAGAAAGTGAACAAGAAAAAGAAATGGAAGCTAAAACTTATGTCTCTACAGCTATTACACCACCAAGGAATGCTTTTTTACTGACTAGATGCAGATCTGCACCGTACCGTTCATCTTTAGCGGGAAGATTTTGGGGGTCACCATCGGAGATTGGAAAAACAAACATAGAAAATGGAAGTCCCACGTCGTTAAGAGAGTCTGTTTCTGAAGAATCTGATAAAGAATCAAGTTTGCATCCAGAAACGGAAGTAAAGATTAGTTTTCTCAAAGAATTTGAAGGCTCTATCACTTCAATCAGAGAGGGAATTGCAAATTCTGCAAACATTAAAGAGTCAAACACAGAGGTGGTTTCCACTGTACGGCCTTTGATACTCACAAGAAGTAAATCTGAACCGGCGAGAACCGGTGAGAAGCTTGATCCGGAAATGAGTTTCTGGAAGAAGAGAAGGTTGGGTTCCACGTAGTTAATTAATTGGTAGTTACCACCACATTAAATATTTTAATTACTACTTTTTGTTTATTTTATCTTGGAAAATGAAATGAAGATAGTTTTTTCGAAACTTGTAAACTATAATTATGGTTATTTTTATAAATTCAGACATCTGGGGCTGTACGGGAGAATCTCCATTACTTCTGTGGAAAATATCATATTTTGCAAAATAATCTATATTTTTTTAAAATAAAATAATTTTGTTGGTTGTGTTACCAGAAGTAACATATTAATAAAAAAATTTGTTGGTTATGTTTGTTCTAGCATCACAATCAGAATTTCAATTAATTTGTTGCGTTAATGGAAGTAGAGATTCGATTGGTTTTATTTTTTATCTTTTACTCTTATGGCGTCTGATCTTTGCTTTAAATCTTGCACTTGAAAATGCTTATTTTTATATTTCAAATAACCAATTTTGGTAATTATTTAAGGTATAATTTAAGTGTTTATAATCTTTTTAGGTGTAAACCTAACCAATTATACCTAAATAAATAAAATAAAATACAAACTTATCATTGAAAAATATAAATGAAGAATCACATTAATCCAATTATATTATGTCTGATTATATCTAACTACATCTAATGATTAGTTCATGGTTGTTTGTTGCATGCCTTCTTGTAAGTGAGTCCGTATCACCGGATTGTGTCTTGCAAAACATGGATATCCTTGTCCTCACAAAGTTGCAATATCTAAGATGTGAAGCCTCCTTGACAACATCTAGTTCAAGATAGCTAGATGCAAACCCAATGTGCTTAACGGAGTGTGCAACATCATAGGTGGTATCATGAATCGGAATCGCAACTTACTGACCACACCATATAGAAAACACTACCTAATACATAATATCACACACACACACGCACATAATTTTAAGTTATGTTGAGAAAAAAAAAACTAATACATCTCAATTTATTATACTACAGTGCATGGAGTTCGTGCTTCATACATGAGAGCCCCAGAATATGGTTACATTCACATGTGATAAAATGATGCATGTATTAATCCATGTTAACATCAACATCAATGATGAGATGTTGTTACTCAAGGATGCGCAATCTCCTTGAATGTCATTGGTTGATATATTACACATACGCTACCAGCTAATTATTATCACTTTTGCTAAAATTTCTTTATGTAATTTAAATTTTAAATTTTTATATATTTTTAGTAAATTTTAAATCTTGATTTAAAACACATTATTTTTACTTGCCTGAATGAATTATCAAGCCTATCATATATGACTGAAAAGCTTAAAATATATAATTTCAAAAACAACTTGAGTTGCATAGAAATACCACCGATAACTACCAATACGTCTTAAACAGTACATAAAGGTTTAATTTTGCAGATATGACAAAATTTATCTAGTAACTTTGACCCTCTAAAATAATATGTTCTTGAACTCCATTTGACTTGAAAAGTTACCAAAATATATTTTCATGTGTTTAGTATCTCCCTGTAAAATGCTAGCTCGCTACGATGTACGGTTTAAGAGATATACTTGATTTTATAGAACTTGTTAGCAGACATTTTAAGGTTAAATTTGGATTTGACTTGGTTCGTATCATCCTTTCTTTCTTTACAAGATTCAACATCGAATCTATAACATGGAAAATATCTTCTAAGGCTAACAAATCAATACCAAGCTGAAGAATAACATTATCATCAAAACTAGGAAGAACTTTATTAGCAAATAAGGTCTCACTGATATACAAGGTCTCCTTTTTAAACATCTTCTTCTTCTTCGATTTTAATTGTTCATCATATATTTTTTTAGGTGTCAAAGATACAAGAGTTATAGGTCTTTCATTCATCCCAAAGAAATACCTATTTGTCACTTCATCATGCATAACTCTTCTATCATACTGCCATGGTCTACTAAGCAACAAGTGACTAGATTGCATTAGCACAACATCATATAACACTTCATTATAATATTTACCAATAGAAAAGGCAACCAAAACCTACTTATTCACTTTTATTTAACCATCATCATTCAACCACTATAATTTATAAGGTATGAGATATTTGACAATGTGCAAGTTCAACTTTCTCACTAATTTAGTATTAGCTACATTAATGCAACTACCACAACCTATAATTAAGCTATATGTCTTATTATGAACATAACATCTTATGAGGAATATGTTGTTTTGACTTTCTAAATATATTCAGTGCTCTTTTCACCATAAGTGCCTATTCCTCAACCAAATACTTAAGACAAACATCATTAACATCCTTTAATAGTGGCATCCTTTTCTCTTCATCCTCTCGATTGGTCTCAACCTTAGTATTAGCTTTCATAACCATAACTTTGTTTTAGACACTATGAAGTAACATTACCAAAACTGAAACAACAAAAGCATTCAATGTCACAGTTATAAGAAGTAGGAGTAATTTGTTACCTTTAACAATAACCAAGGTGTCTTTCTTCTTTTTAGGGTATTCAACCTTGCCCTCCTCATTCTTATGTGATGGATCACCTCTAGTGTGTTAGCCTTCAATTGGGTTTCTAAGATTTTGAAGGGTTTAATGGTTAGCTTTATCAAATGATACCTTTTTGTATAAGCTGTTTCTCCACCTTTATGGCCATATGCACCATCTACTCTAATTTCATATAATGATGTAACTCCAAAATATGAGATATATAATGATTAAATTCATTCATGAATTTAGCCATAATAGCCTCCTTATCCTCCTCAACATTAACCCAAATCATAACAAGTATCATCTCTTTAAAGAACTTATCGACACTCTTTGTACCTTGACTCAAACTTTGCAACCTTTAATATAATTATCTATAATAATAGCTAGGCATAAATCTCCTTCTTATAACAGATTTCATTTCATCCCAAGTATCAACTTGCCTCTTATAATTCTTCATACGGTTTATCACTAATTGATCATACCACACAATAGTATAATTAGTAAAAAAAATCATAAAAAACTTGACTTTTTTGGGCTCTTAATAATTATGACACTAAAAAATCTACTCTACCTTCTTCTCCCATTCTAAATAAACTTTAGGATTATTCTTCCCTTCAAAAGCTAGTATTTTTTATTTTAATTATATCTAAATCTCCACTTAACTTAACACTATGGTTTTGGTACCTATAATTATCCATCTGACCTAAATTATCACCAAATTTGTCCAAAATAATTGAAAAGGAACTACAGGTTTTCACAATATCTGATCAAATAAATGCCATATTTAAACACATTAATATCATTATTGTCTTACTAGGTGGTTTGAGCACATTGGAAGAGATCTTTCATATTTCTTTTTGGGCCTAACTGTACATCTACCATAAACTCATATGTTTGTTAAATGTTAATGGTTTTTATGATAAGTTGTTGTCTTTTCTTAATCATGTTATGGAACCTGAATTTCTAACATCTTTGATACGACAAATCATAATGTCTATTGCTATTACTGAATAATTAATTGACTAACTATAATCTTTTATCCCTATAATTGATCCCTTCATAAGTCACATAAATTGACAACTAAGAAAAACTGTAAAAAGTTTAGATTGAATTTGAGCCTTCATTTGTGAAACCTTATGCCGTTTTATTTTATCAATAACATATTATTTTGTTTTGTTATTTTTTATATTTGTTTAAATGTATTTCAGGTTTGTTAGTGTTCAGTGTTTCAGGTGATATCTTCTATACTCTATCTTTTTACCTTAGGATATTGAGGACAATGTCTTGTTTTGGTTGAGACGAGAAGGTAGTCATTGATATATATATATAAATTAACTAACTGTATTTTCTATTTCGTAAATCATTTATAAAATTGTTGTTACTAGGATAGTAGAGTAAAGAAGTTCTTTTATTAAAGTAACTCTTGAGACGTATCTTAGTAAATATTTTTTACAAGGTCTATTAGAATACTTATTGAAATATTTAGGTTTCTAAACTCTTGCATTATTATCATTTAATTTTGCTTATATAGTCATTTAACAAGTATTCTTAAACTTTCAATTTCACGCACACACTTTAACATATGATTGTGGGTTGTAGATTGAATTATCATATTATTTATGTTTTTTTTTAAAGTAATAACTAAGAAAAAGGGACAATATATAATTTGCCAAAAAAATTTGATGATAATAAAAACGTAGATACGTTTGATTTCATAGCCTCCCTAACTTAAGCAATTAAGCCAGAAGGAGAGTTTTAACCCTTAATACCCTAAAGTTAACTGACTTGAGAGCTATTGACCCAATATTTGTTACATGGGTTGAGGAGAAAAGCGTAAGGGAATCATACAGTGCACTATCTATATATTAGTATCTATAACTCGAGTTATTAAACTCGAAGGGGTGTCTCAAGACCTAATGCCCTACGACCAACTGTTTGGGAGTCATTAGCTGAAAGCTCGTTATATGGGTTAAAGATGCATTGTGTTGTATATATACATGTTAAAAAAAAAGAAAAAAAAGAAAATAATCCTTACCCAAGGAAGTTAACCTTAAACATTAGAACCAAATTCTGTTTTCATCTAAGTAAAGTCCTATAACTATGTGTTGATATATTGAATATAAAAGAAAGGTTTATTAATATCTTGGTAAAGAGGTGTTGAGTATATATATAAATTTAATGAGAGTTGTTTATCCGAATAGATTAATGGAAGTTAAATGATGAATGCCTTGCTTTGTGGAACTTATAAATTGTTTTTCTATTTCAACATTTTAATTACTGGGGACTAGTAATAAACTACTTAGAGGGTGTGATTAGTACTTAAAAGTGTATTTTTATCAATGTTTTATATCAGCATTTTGCATTTGAAGTATCAATAACTCCATAACTAAAGTATGTTTTATAATAATAAGTTTGATACAATATGATATATTTAATTTGTGGTAAATTTTCATCTTAAATGCAGGCCTATGACATAAATCAAAGGATTGATTGATGAGTTCAACTACTGAAATTGAGAAGACAAAGAAAGAGTGAAGCTTAAAA